TTGCATGGAACAATGAAATTTTAGACTTCGTATACAGAGAGTTTAACAGTAAGTGGATTCAAGACCTGTGTCTCAAGGAAGAAGACAAATGTGTGTAATTAAACATTAATTGCAATCAGTTTGGAACAGAAAGGATAACAGTAAATGCACTAACTTTGTGCTGTAGTGAAGGTTTTAGCACAGATGTGACAGCAATTACAACAATCATATGTATGACGAATAAACATAACGCTAAGAAGGGTTTTGAATTTTTAAATTTTTTTGCTTAATTAGGTAACACACAAATAGATGGGAATGGCTTGTATGGTAGCAGTAATGGTATAACAGTAAATATTGCTTATAGGTGGCATCAGTGTTACACTTGCATACATGATATAGTGATATACACTGTAAGGCATTTGACCACTATCCTCATGCCTGCCACACAACAAAGACACGGCATGCTAATACATCACTTTGCAATTTATTTACAAAAAATTGTTGTACATTAGGATTCAGTATGAGCTAGAAAGAGTATGAGTGCTATAGGCAAAGACTCCATTCTACATCTGGCGTATATACATGAAATGATTAACTACACAGTTACTAAAACAGCAGCAAAATAAAAATACCGTGGCACACCCCTGTATGCTTTACGTGTAATGGTGTATTGACCATAAAGTAAAATGTGCACGTGAGACTATCTGTACATGGTGTCAAGCAGGCATCATGCATGCAACTGAAATCTATTGGAAACAGTGAGTGCAATTGTTCCATGAAACCCTGCAACACTCAAGCTACTGTAGGACCTCAACTTACTTATATGATGAGCTCAATAGTGGCTGTATCGACGGATTCGACGCTTTATAGGATAGTACAGATCATGGACAGGATTTAGCCATGTTGCTTGGGACCTTGGGTGCAGTGACAGGCATGTCATTAAGTTTTATGTTTGAAATTACACTGATTGAGTGCTAGAAAAACTTTTCTTTTTTTTCCATTACTCTTGATTCAAAATGTTTCCGAATCGGGTGATAAATTAACGTATTATTATTTGAACTAAAAATTATATCATTGAACTGAACCCCTTGTTTCTTTCATTTTTTGACAACCCTACTTTTTCTATTTTACGAAATTTTTAAGTTACTTTTAATTATTGGCCTCGCCAAGCTTTGTGTATGCGAGGACTAGGTACTTTAACATTAACAATAAAATTTATCAATTTCAGAAGCATTGCACATAATTCATTAATTATCAATTTCAAAAGTATTCCAGATATATAATTTGTTAATATTCAATAAGACAAGAAAGGTTCACATAATTCATTAATATTTTAATAGGACAAGAAAGGTTCCACATTTTTCATTAATATTTTAATACTACCAGGTTCCACATACTTCATTAATGTATCACATTATGTCAATTTGTAAAAGGAGGAAGGAAGAAAGGAGACTTTTAGAGGAAGAGAAGTGATTGTGTTGAAACAATTGTAGTACGACAGATAAGGAACTAATAAGACAAGAAAGGATCCACAAAATTTATGAATGTTTCAATAAGACAGGAAAGGTTCCACATTATTCATTAATATTTTAAAAACACAAGAAAGGTTCCTCATACTTCATTAATATATCACATTATGTCAATTTGTAAAAGGAGGAAGGAAGAAAGGGGACTTTTAGAGAAGGAGGAGTGAACAATTGTTGTACAATTTTAATAAGACAAGAAAGGTCCCAAATTCTTGTGGACAATATTGCATTTTCCTGTTCCTGAACACTCAACAGCAAAGTAAAGACCAGCAGAGTGAGTTTGGACATCATTAGATATAATTTCAGCAGAGAGCCCAACTAACATTGAAAGTTCAGCTTCAATTAGAGAGTGCTTGTGTGGCTGCGATATAGTCCTGAAACTGCCTTATTGTCAAGGGTTCGTACAGCCGCTGCTGGTCCAGCATGCTTTGAAACTAACCCGTTCAACCACCCTACGAAAATCCTGAAAGAGTCATCCTCATTTATCCCCTGAACTATGTCTGAAATGTTCAATATGGCAGTAAGGGATAGTAATCGGGGAATGATTGCTTTAGGGGCAAATTTAATCACAATCCCCGGGTCTGCCTGTTCTGCCTCAACTCCTCTGCTATCTAGAAGAGCAGCAGTCTGGTCAGGCCCCTTCTGTGATGCTTCTAGTGTAATGGAATCCATTTATAGCAAACCAAGTACGAGATTGAAAGGGATTTCAGGGATTGAGAGGACAATGGCAGACAGTCAACTTTCACTCTGTCTTTTTCAGCGCATGCGTACAATTGTAATGTGGAGCTAGCTGTAGGGTCCAGCTCTGCTCATAGATATTAGAGTACACGTCTAGCTCAACCTTAGAACTGTCCATCATATCCTAGATTGGACCGACCCGCCATATAGGCAAGTATTTGGTTGTCTGTCATTCTGTCCCTTTTCCAACTGTTTTTAAAATGATTATTATATAGGCGGTAGCCTATTAGTAGGGTTGAGATTAATTTTTCAAGATGGTGGCAATTTTATGATTTTGAAACACAACTCTTTTATCTTACGTTGTCCAGCCTTATAAATGGTTTACATGAGCTCTCCTTCACAGAGTGATTCATCTGGTACCATTTAAGTGGACTGTATTGTAGCGGGAGCATTTCTGGAGTACATGCCCAAATTCAAATTTCTGCAATATTCTTCAGACTTCTTTCCTTCTTTCATCTTCTATGCACCAGATAATCTTTTAATCCAGTGAACCGCTCAAGTTGGCTTTTACATCATTCTTTTGTGCTTAGGTCAAGGACGACAAAGGTAGTTTTAAACAGAAGCAAAGGCAGGGAGCAAAATGAAAGACAAAATCCAGCTGCAGACACCGCATGTGTTTGTGGTTTGACGCCATTTTAATTTATGCGCACATGATCAGTATGAATATAATTAACCTAACCACACAATCATAACAGTCTGTAATTTATCACGTTAAGAAAAAAGATTGGAAACAAGTAAATAAAAAACATTAAAAATGGGAAAATAGTAGGATTGAATAAATATGGGGTACTTGCAAACTGGTAAGGTGAGAAATCCTACACCACTGCATCAAAGATGAAGGCTTCATACAGTGCAGCTATCATATAGTTGGCTGTGAGGATAAATTGTAATGCTTTTGGGTAACAGCCTTCATGCAGTGGTGTTGGATTTCTTACCACACCACATTGCAAGTACCCTCTTGTTTCCTTACTTTTTCCCAATTCAATCCTACTATTTTCTCTTTTTTTAATGTTTGTTTATTTACTTGTACTAAAAAAATGTAAAACATTAAAAGGGCGAGCCTAAGCCTAGCTACACATTGTGCTGTATGATCTACATGTATGAGCAAGCAAAGCAATTTCACAAGTTGACTTGGTTAGAATAATTGCATGAAAGTGAGAGTGAATTTCATTGGAGGTTCTGAGGCAGCATAGGCGGCGGCAGGATTAGCAGAGCGGTGGTGGAAGAAAAAGAGCGCGCGAAGCCTCCAATTTTGGCCATGCCCACTTTTCCGCGCGTATTTTGGGCATGTACTCAACGCACGCATACATTAGGATGTACCATAAAATACGCCTAGAAGGCGCCCTATTTTTTCTGTAAAGCTCTATTCAACATGTAATGTGCTAGTCTTGGTCCTCCTGGAAGGCTTGTTGACAAAGGAAAGCCAGAAAAGACCGTCTGGTCCTCTTGGAAGGCTTGTTGACAAAGGAAAGCAGAAGAGACCGTCTCTTGCTAGCCATGGTAATTTTTCATGACAAAAATGTTGTCATAACTTAAATTCTTATTTCTGGTCAAAATTTTTCGTCGGGCATTGCCCAACTATGCCCAACCATGCAGCAATGAAGGCTGCAGCAATGTTTCTGCAGCAATTGCAGCAACCCTGCAGCAATGAAGGCAATGAAGGTGTGGCTCAATAAAGCCATGCTCCAGCTCCACCCTCACACACACTCACACACAGTAATGGTGACACGCGGCCCTAAGTGATGAACTAGTGAAGAAAGCTTTGGCTTTTCTCTAGGTTTTTCTTGACTTTTAAACAGTTAGCATATATTTGTTAGGCTCTATTTGTTGCATACAAACTGCCATTGAGTCCCTGATGTTTAGCCGCTACTTCGGGAGAAGAGAGCCTTGTGTAATCTCACAAGGTATGATGTTTATGCTAAGACGATGGGAACAATTTCCTACATATTATTTAAAGATGGGCTTTGTTCTATTATTTCATTATTATCTTCTTTACTCCAAGGACTATAAGTGAAGGACTTACAATGACACAGATATGGAAGAACATACCAAGAATGTTGGCCAACAAGAATTATGAGGTTGTCTTGTGTAGCCACACAAAACCCCTTTTAGCCACACGAGAATAGTTATTAGGTAGGTGTGAGAGAAAGTCTAATAAAGCATTAAATAGTTTTGTGTAGTTCTACGCGTAGCTTACTATGACAGATTTTGCCAGGGACACAGTTTATGATAATGAGCAGTGATTAGGGAGTGTGGGAGACACTGAGTGAGAAAGGGAGAGTATCATGGGGTAAGTTGTTTTGATTATGCAGTATCAATAGGAAGCTAGGATAGTGTATAACAGTGCTTGTACTTGTTACTTGCCATGGCTGTGAGTGAGAGACTGAGAAAGTGAGAGAGAAAATATCATGGGGTACCTGTTTTGCCCATATTGTATAGGAGGAACAGTGTGTTATTGTATTATAAAAAAGGAAAATATACCTTATGCCTATAGTGTCAATTTACCTTTTCATTTTTAGATTTTATGATGATACAGGGGCGAAATGTCCTGACAGAGGCAAAGACAGGACAGAAAGCCAATTTTTTGTCACTCCTTGATTCCAAAGTCATTAAATGTACGTTCATGTACATGTACGTATATGTAATTCATTTTTTATTTATTACTTTTAAGATAAATCTAGTTTAGTTGCATACATTATTGTGTTCTATACTGATTATAATGCCTGTATGGCTTTTGATTTCATTTTTAATTCTAACCTGTTGAGTCGAAATTGTTCTTCCTTCAACCCTGCCATGTCCTTTATGCACTGACAGACGAATAGAGGGGAGGATATCAGATTTATTCATGTAGTTCATACATGTACATGTGCATGTACGTAGTCAAAATGATCATGCATCCTATATATATATTGGTGTTATGCTTTGGGCCTAATAGTCTTTGTGTATTGAGTTATGAAAGAAGAGTCTTCTCTGTCTAATATATCTGTCTCCATTAAATGTAACGTGTTCAGCAAATCGATCAAACACTTGGTCATCTCTGTCTAAAATACCAATGGGTTCTAACTCCCAAAACCTTTGCAATGTCCTATCCTGTTTCTTGGTTTCTGTTTCAATACCTACTTTGAGGGTGGGAGTGAGCAGTGTTGAACTGTGATCTGTCTGACCATCCCATGTAATGGGTCCAGATAATACATAGCCAATCCTTGTATTCACTGCTACTGGTCCCTCTTTCCCTCTGAACACTTCCCCATTCATTATATTCCAATAAAAATTAGATCCAATTAGCATATCCGGTTCAAAGTGTACCTGTTCCAATGTGTCAGCTAACTTGAGCTTTATTAAGTGAGGATATGAAGCAAAAAATTCTTTTGTGAAAGGCCTGTGAATAGGTTCACATATAAATGGAAACAACATTTTAAATTCAATCACTGAGCCATCTAAAGCAACAATCCTTACCTTTACAGCATAGCAATTGTGGTGATGTGCTTGACTTGACCCAAAAGTAACTGTAGTAACAGGCCTAGTTCCTGAGGGCTTTAGCCTCAATGTTTCAGCTAACTGTTGTGTTATATAGGACTTCTGACTGCCTAAGTCTTATGTTATGCATGCAGAGACCCTGCCCAGCTCCACAAATACTTTTGACTGTCCCTATAGCAGTCTGTAGTAGCACTGAACTCTGCTGATAACCACAATATAATGTAGCTGAAGGAGTACTGCTGTTAAATGGTGTAGCTCCAGGATTCAATTTTGCCTTGGGTGGTTTGCTGCTTTTGCAACAGATACTAGTATGATGCCTTTCACCACACTTAATTGAACTAAGTAAATGCATATTTACTTGTCTAAACTAACTATAAGTGCTAATAGTACCGTAAATCATCAAACAAAAGCCCTGGCATCTATTTCTTACAATGGCATTAGGACCTTTGAAGAAGTGCACAGTGGGATTTTAATCCAGGACTTCATGCAAGCAATTCCAGTATGCTTAACCAATCATCTACAAGGCATCTATGATATTTGTAGGCTACATTTGCATAATTATAGTCCCATTTTATTGCTAAGCCTGCGTTTATTTGTGCCCGGCTTTTATTTGACGATTTACAGTAACTGAAATTATGAATGATTTATTAAACTAAAATGGCTTAAAACTTGATTTTTTTGTTTTGTAAGTTAAAAGGTATTGTTAAAAAACTATCTTGGCGTCCATTTATTGGTTGTTTTAACAAATTGTTTTTGTAGCTTTATGGTAGGTGTACTATCTGCATGCTACATATAATTGTCATAAGTCACGCAACAACTTGTATCCAACCTTGAATTTAAAGGTTAATACAAAAAAATTCTATTGCTGCAATCAATAGAGAAAATAATGGGAAAAAATAATGTACATTAATACTATTTCCATTAAAAATATTGGCTGAAATGTTGCAATTTGTTTCCTGTCAGCCATTTCTTTGAAACTACTTCCCAGTAGTTGCTGTGGTCACGTGATGATGAACATAGGGAACCATGTCCTCTAAAGAGCCTGAGTCTATGAACCTGTTGGTGCAAAGTATATTCATAAAGTGTTAAGTATATTCATCATGATACTGATACAGTAAATAAAGTAAAATTTTCCTGCCGTCATTTTGGCTTCCTAATTCTGAGGAGCAATTGCAATAAGAGCTAATTCACCAAAAACTGATGTATTGATTTGTGAAAGCAATAATGCTACTGCTTACTGACCATCATTCAGTGTTTGCAATGGGCTAATGGACTTTAATAAGTGCCACTAGAAGATACAGAAGCAAATATATTACTTGCTCTCCTGCTACTCTTAGTGAACTATGACTTCAAAATTACGGTATCGCAATGAATATACTTAAAATTCTATTTGTATACTTAGTACCAACTTGTCTTTATTCAGATACTGAATCTGCTGACCATTTGTGCCTCACAAGAGTGATGATGGTCTAACCAGTAGTAGTGACTGTTGTGCTAACAGTGAAAATTTAAGTAGTAGGCTCACCAGAGCCCACTAGGCTAGAAAATACAAAGTTTGCAGTGCGAGAAGCTCCTTTCCCAATGTAGATGTTTTAGGATTGAAATGTTTTAGGTTAAAAAATTTTTATGTAAATGGTATCTTTTAATTTAATTACTTATCTTTCGCATTGGGTCTATTCATTGCAGCAATAAAATTTTTTGGGTCTTGTTACCCTTAAACAATCAGCTGCAAAATAGTCTAAACTGCTTTAAGAAATGTTAATCGCATAAAATATTGACTATAAATAGGCAAAATGTGAGACACCAAAAGCTAAGGTAAATAATTATATGAGAATTTAGGAGACAGACAAAGTTTCCTTATCTCCAAAGCTCCCTTTAAATCTATCAAGCCTCATTATTAATTCTTTAAAAATTAGAATGTTATTTTGCATTACCAATAATTGATTAAATTACTGGATGCAATTGGTAAATAGATGAATGATTATTACGTAGAGTGCTTCTTGTTCATTAATTTTAGACAAATCCTTTTCGTGGCTGTACACCCTCTGAATCTAACATGGTCTAGTTTGAATTTTCTAAACTTAAATCTTTGGAAAACAATCAAAAGGGATTACAACATGATTCGTGGTGTTAATGTGACACTTGCCATTCCCTGTCACACAGGACTCCATGTTTGCCGTTAAAATATATACCAATCCTTGGATAAACCAATTTCAGCAGATTATCGTTCAATAATGGGTTTGTTATGGGAAAATGCTTGTAGACAAGGTATGCTACCTGTTTCAATGTTCTAAACTAAATTTTATTTCAAATCAAACCCTAGGCCTGGATGGTATTGACATTAGAAGAATGATGAAACAAAACCCTTGATGGTTTTCAATCACAGTATCGCATTTGTGTAATATTTCTGAGCTACCACAAGATAAGAACGGTCTTGGCAAAATATTGCTCTATTACATACTCCAGATAATTAATTATGTTCATTATGATATTCACATATATGTGCGTAACTAGAGATCCAAGGCATGACTGGTGCAGGTTCAAAGAAAATGAAGATTATACATTTTACAGTAAAAATTGCATGCATACATGCCTCTTACTACTTTTATATTGTGTGTGACTGTTGTGTACTGTTTTATATTATTTGTTGTGTCATGTAGGTGTTCCAGGTATTATAGTCATAGATATAAATTTCAATGTCATTGCGATTGGTGAAGTATCACATGACAAGCCTGATGATGGATATTATCAGTTGCTTGGGGCAATGTTACGGGTTTATCTGGAAACTGGGCTCCTGCCATATGGTATATGCAATGCACATTGTATGATGTTCATTGATATGATTTTTAGGAATTTTATTAGCCAAAAAATCAATTTCATTAATTACACATGCTTATTATCAGTGGCATAAGTGCAGCTGTTCTCTAGAAAGCTTTGGAGGGATTGTGTCTATACTAAAGATACTTATTAACACTGCAGTTCATAGAAGGTTTGCAAAACCTTCTAAGGCACTAGAAGTACAACCAGATGATGTTGTATTGATTGCAATTGGGAAGTTAAGGAAGTACATGAGCTGTAAGTGCACATTACATTAAATATTAATTTTATACATGCAATTTTTATTTCCAGACCCAAGAGAGTAGCAGAAGCCATTGCAATTAAGCCAAATCAGAAATGCAACATTGATGGTGTCTGAAAAATATGAGAACATTATGACATTTATCCTATTTGACATGATGATAACTTCTTAATCAAAAATTGTCTGAACTTTGTTAAAATAGGGTGGAAATGTAGATTGGTAGAAGCAGGGTAGGGGTATAATGTTATTTTGTACTGCTTCGTATTCTGCAGTGTTCCTCTGTAAGCATTAGTACACCTTCAGATGAAGATGCCTTCGAGCAGCCAGTGAGGAACATTTCGATCCTAATACTCAACACACACACATACAGTAATGACAGGAACTTTAAATTGCATAATAAACTATGTAATAAATTTATGTATCTCTCATTCATGTATTTGTCCCTCATTCATGCAATTATCCAAATTAATGCCATGACAAGTCAAACAAGTAATTCTAATTTTAAGTAGATGAAGATATACAAATTTGGTGAGTCATGCAACGCACTGTATAATAGTTTTTTGTTTTGCATGTTGTATAGTTTTAATTTTTTTAATGCTCTTTGAAGTTTAAGTTACAGCCACTTATTAGATACATGTATGCTTCCTATTATGCCAAGCTCGTAAAGTACTTGTCCAGTAAAAATTTTTTTGCACACACATTTATCTATATCAGTTGTCTTTAATGTTAGGATAAATGATAGTTAGAAAAATTATAAAATACTATTTCTGTTTTTTAAGTACTTTTATTAACTTAATATCTAGAAATTTGCTTACTAAAGTAAATAGTTGCATTGAGTTAAGTAATAATAATATACTCGTACATTATTTGTCCATATTGTCAATTTTGTACGACTACTCTGCTCTTTTTTTATTTTTTGTTCTTTCATCTGGTTATGTCTGATGATAGTGCATGATTCCATTAAGCTCTAAGAAACTCTTAAGGTACAACGGGCTGAAAGCATTATTTAGATTTAGGAACACAAATTGTTTTCTTCACACTTTTCTACAATATATAAATTTTTCAATTTTTTTCTCAATAGTGAGATGCAATAAACTTTACTAAACTTTGTAAAATGAATGAAAACTGAGTAAAGAATTCTTGAACATGATGAGAGTACTCTAATTTTTAGTAATATCATTGTGTCCATAATATGAATTTCTATTGACGTATGTTGCATGATTTGGTAAAAGTTTTTCA